ATCTTCTGCAAGGGAGTGATAAGTAAAAGAGTGATTTGTTGGTGTTTTCCCTCCAACCTTAGTATCTAGTTTCACACCATAAAATCTTCAGTTGACACAGCAAGAGGAGATGAGGTTCAAACAAAGGGCATTGCAGAGACAGGGTCCTTTGTATAATATCATCAAAAACAATGCTCAGCAAATGCTACCATGGTATCAAAATATCACAACAAGATGATTTACAATCATCTTAAAATATTTATTTAAATTGTTTTCTTGCTATTTCTTCCATTCTTTTTGTAACTTCCTCAACCCCCCTGTTATTTCTCCAAATACTAATTATTTCATCCTCTCGTTTTTTAAATGTATCTGTCAATGTAACAAATCCTCGTTCCTGTGTATTATTCCAGCTTCCTCCATGTGCCATTGGATGTTTTTCAAATAAAAAAGATAGGCCTTCCTGAGTTTTAACAGTATCTTCAATTCCAATCATATCTAAAATCATGAGAGTCAAAGGGAAATTTTGGAAATTGCGAGCAGATTCACATATGACACTTGCAATGGAATATAGAATCGAAAAAGCCTCAGAAGACATGTTTTCTTTAACATTGACCTTTGCATTAAAAAGATCATATTTGCCAAGAAACATGTTTATCATAAGTCTAGCACATTGCTTTTTATTTGAAATCTGGGCTTTTATTTCTGCGTAGTGCTCTTTCTTGTATGCACTTTTAAGGAATTTCTTAATATCATTGAGTTCATAGTGTCCTATTTCAATTCCAAATATACGTGCATATAGATTTTTTAGGTCAATAGATATAATCCAAATACCACATTTCAAGTATATGAACTTGTTTGTGTTATTATGTGCAAGATAATTAATTATAGCTACCGTGTATTTTCCTGGTTTAATCTCATAGCACTCACAAAATATTTCTTTTCCTTCATAAGTAATGCATGGACTACAAATCATTACTAAATCTTGTGGGTTTGAGAAAAAGGGTTCAGTAAGCGGGCAATTATTGTCATTTTTAATACATCCAATCTCCTCCCCCTTATAACTATTTGAATCTAAATGATTGTTTTTGCCATTCTTGTAGTGAGCTGATGAAAGTGCTCCTCCATCATCTGGAAATTGGTCATTTTTCTTTCTGCAAGACAAAGAGACAAAGACGAAAGTATAAACCCAATGTAATTCTTTTGCTGAAATATACTGCTGAGATTTATTATATGTATTCTGTTTTTCTGGATACAGTGATGTGAAAAAGTGTTTGCCCCCTTCCTGGTTTCCTACTTTTTTGTAGGTTTTTCAGTTTCATTTACCACAGCAAGTCTTTCATGAGCCAGCACCATGTTTTACAGTTGGTATGATTTTCCTTTTCTGAAATGCTGTGGTAGTTTTATACCAGCTGTAATGGGACACAGACCATTCAAAAGGTTCAACTTTTGTGTTGTCAGCCCATAGAGTATTGTCCCCAAACTCTCTTGGGGATCATCGAGATGTTTTCTGGTAAAGCTGAGGTGAGCCTTTATGTTCTTTTTGCTCAGAAGTGGGGGGTTTTCTTGGAACCCTGACATGCAGGCCATTTTTGCCTAGTCTCTTTCTTAAGGTGGAGACATGAACACTGACCTAAACAGAACAGTTATAATTGTCATGGTCCGGGGTCTGTGGCTAGGGCTGGGTATTGTCATTAATTTCTACACTGATTGAATTCTGATGGACAAGGTCACGTTTCAATTCCCCCAATTCGATTTTGAATCCTGATCCTGGGTTTCAGCACCTCTGTAAATGATGCACGACAGCCCAACCACATGTTTGCACTTTTCAGCAACTTCTTTATTGCTGCTGTTGACTTACACACACAGCTGCAGCCTTTCAGCGGATGCAGCGCACGCGTGTATTAACGTAATTGCCGCAAATGTCTTTCTTCTGCCGTAAAAGTGACTCTGATGTTAAACATTTGTTCTGCATGACTTTTCTGTCAGGTAACTTGTGCCCACCTGTCAGAAGTCCACGCACATTGAAAATTATTGTTACAGAAGAAGGGTGGCCAAGTTTCAACATAAGCCTTAGTCACAAGTGGAGCCTGCTGTGTGCCCTGCGCAGCCCCAGCCGATCCAAAAGGAGCTCTGCACACCGCATCTGATCGTGCTAAGACACCCAAGGACTGCTCCGTCGCTGCCGTTGGCCCTGCAGCCAACCACCAAGACTGCTAATATTTCTGTTTGAACTCCAATTACCCTGTTTGTACTTCACCCTGCAACCATACATCCATCTTCTTCTGCTTTATCCGAGGCCGGGTCGCGGGGGCAGCAGCCTAAGCAGAGAGGCCCAGACCTCCCTCTCCCCAGCCACCTCCTCCAGCTTATCCGGGGAATACCAAGGCGTTCCCAGGCCAGCC